CGGGCAGCCGGCGGGTGGCCCCCCACCCACCGGCTACCCGCTGGAATTTTCCCCATCTTGGGTTCCCGGCTTCCCCGTTTGATGTTTCCCCGTCCCCCGTGGTGTCCCAACGGACTCCGTTAATCGTGCCTATGTCTAGTTTGATATTTCGGGTACCGTTCGTAGGTTTATGAGTCTATTATATTGCATGCTAGTTGAATTGGTATCCCGTTGACCTAGGTGGAAGAAGTATGAACCTCTTAGGACTATTCTTAGTATGTGATGGATCACGCGTAGGTTTTGTTATACGTTTTCTCCCCCTTCCCAATGTGTTAATGTGGGTTGCATGTACTTGCTATGTGTTATGTGTGCATGTAACCCCGAGTTGGTTAAGATCAATCGGGCTATACGGGCAGTCGGGTGGGCTGAGAACCATACCGGCTGTTAACCAGGCTGGTAGAGACCGGTCAGGTATATAAATATTATATAGGACTAAGTTCTACTATACGGGCAGTCGGATGGGCTGAGAACCATACCGGCTGTTAACCAGGCTGGTAGAGACCGGTCAGGTATATAAATATTATATAGGACAAAGGTCCACTATACGGGCAGTTGAATGGGCTGAGAACCATCCCAACTGTTAACCAGGCTGGTAAAGACCGGTCAGGTATATAAATATTATGTAGGACAAAGGTCCATCAGTCGGTTGCGATCGGCTCCTCCGTAATGTGAGACGGGGCAGGGTGCTGCGGGGCCGTGTCAGAGCTATATGCGCTGACCCTCATGTATGGGCATGCGATTGGTCCTGTGGCGCCAACAAAGTGTGTTATGTGATGAGATATGGAGGAGTTGTGTTTATGAGTATATTGGGGGATGTGACTAAGGGGTTTATGCTGGGGATTGTTTATGTTGGGTTGTGATTATTAATTGTGCTTATCTTTATCTGTCTTGCCTGTTGTGGATTATATACGCTGGTTATAACTGTTGCTTGTGTCTAGCCTTATCTGTCGAGTCATTCCCGGTTTTAAAAGCTAGAGTCTCGTATGATATATCTTCATGCTTCGAAATGACTTTTCGTATATCTATATATATATATATCTCTATATGTAATGTATTTCAACGCGTTGGAGTGGGTTACCAGCATCTCTCGCTGAACAGATATATTTGGCTTTCAGGCACAGAAGATTAAGTCACTGGAGTGCACTAGAACTTAGAAGTAGATAGTTTCCCTTTTGGCCTGCGTGCCACGTTTACGTATTTACGCTTTGAGGATATTAGTTAGTTAGCCTGTGCACTTGGGTTCTCTAGCCCAGGTGTGGCATAGCACCCCGAACGCTTGTATTTATATCTTGGGATTTAATAAGATTCTACCTTTATTATAAGTTTTAAATGTCTTGAAAATTTGGGGTGTTACAGGCTCCATCTCTACCACAGGCTCCATCTCCACGTCGATAGGCTCCCTACACATCAGGTCCAGCATGTCTGGAGGCACCACAATGGGGTCTGAAGTCGAGTCGCCCACCAAACGACCTCCGTTAGCCAACCTCTTCTGCCTTAACTGCTCCAGTCGAGCATACTCCTTGTTACGAATGGACCAGCGGCGATCACCATCCCTGTAACTCATAGCGCCGTGCCTTCGCAAAGTGGAGAGTGTTGCGATTTGCATCAACTATGAGGGGCCTTTATATAGCCCAGTGAAGGCGAATACCTAGGCAATAATCACGAAGTAGATTATAACTGATATAACTGAGCCGGATTGGACGGATGACGCGAATCTCTGTCAGAGATTAGTTCCATCAAATCCGCCGGGAAGAGCAAGATTCGCACGCCAACGCAGAGAAGATTGGATTCGCCCGAGATACGGGGAATCTTGCAGGTGTCAGACTGAAAAGAATCTGATGACGTGACCGACTCCTTGACCAGTCGTCTGGATGGGTACGCAACAAAATATGACAAAACATAAGGCAAGGCGAAAATAATGTTTTTTATTATTATTATAGGAAAGGAGGGTACAAGTAACAAGGAGCTTATTACAATAAGGAATATGAAAATGCTCCTAGAAAAGATTCCTCCGAACTATGGCCGACTCCGGTACATATGATCACTCGCCGGGCGAGGAAGAGTCGCCCCTAAAGAATCCCCCCAATGGTCCGGGTGGGGATGGACAGAACGAGTCCCAGAAAGCTGGCATGAGTGGTGGCGCAATTGGTTCCTCATCATCCGGATACTCCTCCAGGTAGCGGGCATAATCCTCATCGTTCATCAGGCCCGTAACTGGCCCGTCCAGGTCGTCCAGCGGAATTGAGAAGGTCATTCTGAAAGTAAGTTGCTCTGGAACCGCCACCTCAACAAAGGACCCGTCTTGAGAAGTCACTCGGGCAGTTGTGGGAGTAGGCGGTTGGCGTGAAGACGGAGCGACCTCACGACGAGGAGGAGTCGGCGACTGAGAAGCTGAGGAAGTAGCGTCGGCAGGAGACTTCTGAGGGGCGGGGCGAGGAGTCTTCTTTTTGTGTTCCCTTTCAGGCCGAGTCCGCTTGGAAGGCAGCGGACGCCAAGGAGACCCAAAGTCAATTCGTTTTCCTTTCAGAGGAGAACGACCCATGATGGACTTGTGAAGGTAAGAGAGAAGGGAGGAGGCCATTTATAGGTACCAAGTTTAGACAGAAGAATCCAAACGGCCCCGCAAGATCCGGAGAGAATGACTGAGGATCCGGACGTTACGAAAGGCTATTCAAGGCGTGGATGCGGTGATTGAAGGGGATGGACAGTTGCTACTTTTTCAAACCCAGGCTAGCGTACCGGGTATGAAAAAGTGAGGGACTAGTTGATGGGGTAAGGACCCCGGCCCAAGAATTAGGGGCCCAAAGGAAATGGTTCGAAGAAGTGGGCCAGCGTCCAAGGAGCCCGAAGAACAATTGGGCCGAGTCTTGGAGTCGGCCCAGGCCCAAGAATTAGGGGCCCGGTTCAGAACTGCTAAAGAGGAGCCCAGTGGGAGCTTAGGCTGAGACGAGGAGTCGACCAAGGCCCAAGCCCAGGGAAAGACTCGGTCCAAGGAGCCGTTGGGAGCATTGAAGAGGCTCGTTTAAAAGGGAGCCGTTAGGGCATTGAAAGCAGGACTCGGTCAGGCTGTTACAAGCCTGGAAGAGCCGTTGGTCGACCGAGTAATGGCGTCCAACGGCTCCATATCTTGATTAGTCTTGAAGTCGGCCATTAAGGGCCTTCAAGTCGGTAGAGGATGAGCTACTATATAAAGGCTCCTTCACTCTTGTAAAAAGACAGACAATTGAGCACCCGGAGAGAGGAGAATACCAGAGAGATTCCGAGTACTAGCATCGTTTCCAGCATAGGCATACATTTTTACTGAAAGGTGTATCCTCCAGCCGAAGGTTGTGTTGGACCTCCTTGGGCCTGAAAACCCAGAAACCATCAAATATATTACATGTTCATTTTTTGTGTATTGAAGTTTTATTATTTAGTATACTATCAAATAATAAATCTTTAATACATAAAAAATGAATATTTAGTATATTAAAAATGAATATTGATACGAAAAATTAGTTCCGTGTATTTCTCATGTATAGTAGTATATGCGTTGGTATGTATGAAGAACCAAGTAGAAATGTATGAACCAGGGAGAGCCTAAGAGAATCTGGCTTGAACCCTTTTATTATTTCATACTATAGAGAGTTTGTAGAGAGTGTTTTACAGTTGAGAGAGAGCCCCCTAAAATGAAGGATTAAGGCTCTTTATATAGGGGCTCAAGTATTTGGCGGGTTTAATTTTGATCTGTTCATTCGAACCGTTTAACTTCGACCCGACTATAAAGCGAGAGCATGAACATATTGGGAGGTTATACCAATGAATATTCTCTATCAGCTGTTATGTATTTTGATTTAGAAACACAATTTATATTCTAGAAGTTCACAATTTCAATACTAAAAATACACAATTTATACATTGTTTAAAACCAATATCTACCTTGCAAGGTGGATCCTGGTCCATGGTATAACAACGATTGTAACTAGAGATGCCGAGCTTAGCCCAATATCTTGTCTTAAAACAAGTGGCAAATTATGATGTGCATCCGTATGCACCATGCATGTTGCATACGGATGCAAAAACGACGTCGTTTTAATAAAACGCGCGTCTCCCCTTAAAAAAAAAAATCAGGTTCGATTCCCAGCAGCAACATATGAACTAAAATTCCATAATCGATGAACTATAATTCCATAATCGATGAACTATAATTCTATAATCGATTAACTATAATTCCATAATCTAATCTATGAACTAAAAATTTCAGAATGAATGAACTAAAATTCCATAATCGATGAACCTATAATTCCATAATCTATGAACTAAAATTCCAGAATGAATGAACAATATAATGTTGTTGCTGGGAATCGAACATGAATTTTTTTTTAAAGGGGAGACGCGCGTTTTTTAATAAAACGACGTCGTTTTGGCATCCGTATGCACCATGTATGGTGCATATGGATGCACAGCATAATTTGCCAATGTTATCATACACAAAAAAATCATTATTATGTGGATCATGGTCCACACAAGTTGTATGGATCATATTTTGTAGTGTAAAATAATGTATATTCAGTAGAAAAATAATGTACATTTAGTATATTAAAAATGTACTTTTTGTTATGGTCCACATAACATTGGTCCACACAATAATTTGCCCAAAAAATGTTGAGCAAGTACCTCATCTCTCAACTAAAATGCTAAATTGATCATTCACACACACACACACACACACAAATATATATATATATATATATATATATATATATATATATATATATATATATATATATATATATATATATTAGTTTAATCCCCGGCCAAATTCATCACTGGCGTACAGCAGAAATGTGCAAAGCAACAACACTTTTTATTTTATATGAACATTCATTACATGGATTGATGAATTTCTTTTCCTGTAAACTTGGATCTACCTTCCCCAAATCAGCTCAATAATAATCAGAAAAAAAAAATAATAATAATAATGGAAGAAAATTGATGGCTTAATTAATTAACTTCTGTTTGATCTGTAACATCTAACCCACAAAATCACATAACACAACACTCTGTAACCAAAGATAAAACATGCCATCACACCCAAATTGCTCCATTTCTGTGACTCTCTAAGCTGCTGCTTTGCCAACATTCCACTCCCAAACATCTTGCACTCACCTGAAGAAGCCTCAACTTGTATGCATTTCTTCCCTGCTTCCCCTCCATACTCGTTGATCAAGAAGCACTCGAACGGGTACTTGAACAGGCTCAAGTAATGCATGAACATCCAGTACTGAGGAATGCTGTCTTTCGCGATGAAATACCCCGAGAACAGGAAGAAAGACCCCATCAGCCCTGCAATCACAGATGTTCCCATTATGAAATTAGGCACCAGGACGCTGAAGCAGGCGGTGAACGAGTTGGACATCAGCACGACCAGCCAAACCACGAGGGCGAAGTAGAGGAACCTGTCCATCTCAGGCCTAAGTCCCACCAGCCAGTAGACCGGGACGGTGAACAGAAGGCCTACCATCAAGAGGAATGGCAGGAAAACAATGGTGTTTGCTATGACATACGAGGACACGCGGTAGGCTCCCCGAGAAGTTTCCCTCATGAAGATTTTCCTCTCCTGCAGGAAAATTGGCAGGCCTTCTACCATGGAGGAGAGCAGGAATGTTAGGCTGAATGCGAAGAACCCTAGCCGGGTTTGCAGCGCAATCTTTCCTAGGTTGTCATCAACATTCATGAAGATTGATCCTAGTATGAACCCTGCCACCAGTGCCTGCAAGATCCTTGTTGCAAACAGCTGTTTGGTTCTGAATATGTTCTTGCAGAACCTTTCTCCCAGGATCAGAACCTCATCCAACCCAGAATTCGAGTAGCTTCGACACTTGTCTGCAGCAACACAGGAGGAGTTATTAGAAATTCTAACATACTCCTCTTTTCTCACCATCCCCTTATGATCTTTGACACAGAAATGGCTGCTATTCAGGGCTTCTGAAGTTTGGACCACGATGGTTCCGGTGACATCAATAGCGAATTCGAGCAGGTTTATCCTTGGAGGAAGGTGCAACCCAGCAAAACTGAGCTGGTTTTCCAGGGATTTCAGCGAACCGTTGTGAAACACACATCCGTTTGACAGCAAAACGAGGCGATCAAAGAGCTCAAGGATGCGAAAACCGGGCTGGTGAATGGTCAGGACAATAGTCTTGCCCTCACCAGAAACCATAAGTTTGAGGAGTGAAATGACATCAAGTGCAGAAGATGAATCCAACCCAGAAGTTGGCTCATCAAGCAGGATCACAGCAGGGTCATGAACCAGTTCAACTCCAATCGACACTCTTCGCCTTTCCCCACCCGAAATCCCATGGTTCGATCCCTCCCCAATTCTCGAATCTGCAACATTCTCCAACCCAAGCTCCCTAATCAGCACCCCAACTCTACTCTTAGCCTCTTTCTTCCCACCTGGCAACCTCAGAAGAGAACTGTACATCAATGTCTCCTCCACTGTCAGCAGAGGAAATAGTGCATCTTCTTGGCTCACATAACCTGACAATCTCCGAAAGCTTTTCGCATTCACTGGACACCCATTGACAAGCACCTGACCAGAAACATCAACTGGGGATATCTTCCCAGCAAGAATCTCCAGCAGTGTGGTTTTCCCAGCCCCACTAGGCCCAGCAATTGCTGTGATTTCCCCTGCCTTTGCTTCACAGTTGACATCCTTTATGATAAACTTTGAAGACCCCTTCTCCCTCTTCCACCTCAAACCATCATAAAAACTGCAGATTTTGTAACTCAGGTTTCTTGTTTCTATGGAGTATGATGCTCTCCGGCCACCGGAGACCGGCAATTCCATTGGGAAACAACAGGGAAGCTCAAAGTGATGAGACTTAGATAAAGTTGGTTCAGAAGAGGTAGGGGGAAAAAAGGTAGGAGAGGATGAGCTGACTCACCAACTATGCCTGCTTAGTAGTTATAAGTCATTCAAAAATGGGCATGTTTACAAGTTTTCTAACTGTAATTGGGAAAAAAGAATAAGGAGTTTTCGCTAAGTTTGTATTTTGTTGAAGACAAGTATACAATGAAGACTAGAGATCAGAGGAGTTTGCTTGTGTAGAGTCTTGCAGGTAAACTGCATGTTGACCATATTTGAAGATTCTTGTTGGTTTGCTGATGATCAATCTTTTCTTTCCTAACTGCCACTTCTTCTATTTTATTTTATGTTATTAATTAATGATATAACCAAGTTATATAGTGTTCACTTTTGTCTCTCTCTAACTCAAACCACGAAAGTCAATAGACAGCTATTACCCAACCAACTCTTTAACTTTGGTGTAATTTTTCTTTGGATAATACTTTATAGGGAAAATGGTCAAATATATCTTTAAACTTTATACGAAAAATCAATTAGATCCCTAAACTTTTAAAATGTACAATTAAACCCATCAACATGTTATTTTTGTACACTGAAACCCACAAACCTGTCATAGCCGATCACTACCGTTCCGGTGAAATTCACTACCATTCTGTTTCCCCAATGGCACATATGATGTCTCAAACCTTGGAGATAACTTGAAACTTGTACCATTCACCACCAATACCATTCACCATTCATCATTAAAGATTGCGCTTATACTTTTGGTAGAGTCTCATTTATTTATAAGAACGGAGTCACAAAAATCCAAAAACCGGCCCTGCTCCAACAATTCTTTGGCAGTCGACGATCGCAGTTCCAGCGACCAATTTTGGTTGCTCGCCTTCTCCGAGAGAAAACCACCATTTCTGGTTGCCTTCTCTTGAGAAGGCGACCATAATAGAGAAGGCGGTTCATCCATCGGAAGAAAACAATAGTCAACGGTAGTTAACGGGTTTAATTGCGCTTTTTAATAAGTTAAAGAGTTTAATTGCACTCTTTAAAAGTTCAGGGGTCTAATTGATTTATTGTGTAAAGTTCAAGGGTCTATTTAACAATTTTTCTTACTTTATATTAAAATTTTGTGTTTATTAATAGTTTATTTATTTTAAGAGAAAGATGTTATAAAGAGGTGAAAAAGAGAAAGAGCATGTATGAAAAAGGAGAAAAATGTCATGACTTTGGTGTTGATTGTTTGAATAGTAGTAGTGTCATATGAGGTTCCCATTAACAATCAAACCAAACTCTTTAGCACCCAAAAGTTAGCATTCTCTCTTTTCTCATCCAATTTGGTTTAGAATTAGAGTAACTTGTTGGGGTTTCTTGGAGTTTAGAAGGTTTATATCTTGATTGATTCCTACAAAAGAAACCATATCAGTATTTGTTCGAATGAAATGCAACTTTGTTATGGATAATCAAGGTGTATATGTGTTCGTATATGTTTGGATGTGGTTATGAATAAATTAGAAATTAATGAAGACAACAATCAACATATTAATGAAATATAATTACTTGTGTGTGGATCCTTAGGGTTGGGATTCAGCCTTTTGGAATAACGAAATATAATTATTTTTAAAAGTTTAGAATGTATCTTCAAAAAAAAAGTTTAGCTTGTGAATCGGCCCAAAGCCATAAGCTCGTGTAAAGAGGTTTGGGCTAGAGGATTTCAACTCATTAAAAAAAAAAAAAAAAAATTGATCAGGCCATGAGGAGCCGCAAATTATGCTGTGCAACCATGTGCACCATGTATGGTGCACACGGTTGCAAAAACAACGTCTTTTTGATTAAAAATGCGCGTCCCACTTAAAAAAAATGCAGGTTCGATTTTCGGCAATAGTATTTTTTTGTGCATAATTTGAATTATATATCCACAAATTCATAACTATATATCCACAAATGTATAACTATATATCCACAGTGAATGAATAACACAAAATTCATAATGAATGAACTAAATATCCACAATGAATGAACTAAATATCCACAATCAACGAACTAAATATCCACAATGAATGAACTAAATATCCATAATGAATGAACTAAATATCCACAATGAATGAACTAAAAATCCACAATGAATAAACAACATAATACTGTTGAGGAGAATCGAAACTGAATGTTTTTTTTTTAAATGAGACGCGCGTTTTTAGTCAAAACGACGTCGTTTTGCAACCGTGTGCACCATGATACACACGGTTACACAGCATAACTATTGATGAGGGGCAATTTATATCGTGCACCAGGACACACATTGCATTGTGCGTCCTGATGCAAAACGACGTCGTTTTAAACTTTTTTTTTTTTAACATTTTGTTTTTTCGTGTTTGCTGTTAACTTGTTAAAAAAAATTATGTTTTGAAAATATACATAATTGTATATGAGAATGTACATAAACTTTTAACTGTTAAAAAAAATCACGTGTTCGAATGTACATAATTGTATAAAAAAAAATGTTCATAATTGTATAAAATAATGTACATAATTGTATACCAGAATGTACATAATTGTTTAACATAATGTACATAACATAATACACATAAACTCTGTCCCGTCGACTCCCCACACAACTTATCAAAATGACGTCGTTTTGAGAGGCACGGGGCACACAGTGCTATGTGCTCCGTGGTGCAGGGTGACGTCGTTTTGAGAGGCGCGGGGCACACAGTACTATGTGCTCCATGGTGCAGGGTATAATGATTGGCCATGAGGTGTCTTAAGCAGATTTCATTCGCACCGAGAGGCGCGGGGCACACAGTGCTATGTGCTCCGTGGTGCAGGGTGTAATGATTGGCCATGAGGTGTCTTGAGCAGATTTCATTCGCACCGGGTCCCTACACCTTTAAACCCGTATCATACCGGGCCGGCACAATTAAGGCACCTTTAAACCCGTATCATACCGGGCCGGCACAATTAAGGGGCAAAGTGCTGGCCAGATTGATTTTTCCATATGATAGGGGTTCGAACTCTTGACCTCTCTTAAGGGATAAGAGTGCACTGCCACTCACGCCAACCAAGCTGCTTACTCATTAAAAATTTTGTAGTCTGCGTTAGACGGGTTAGGTTGCATTGACACTCTTCTTAATGACAAATTATGTTGTGCACCCGGGTCCAAAACGGCGTCGTTATGCTTCAAAATGTCGCCGTCTGAATTAAAAAAAAAAAAAAAAATTGCTTCATTCCTTGTCGTTAACTTGCCGCATAATTCATTCATCTATATTCACACTTTTAGAACTCTATATTCACAATTTTAGAACTGAATATTCACAATTTTAGATCTCAATATACAAAATTACAGAATTCAATATTCACAATTGCAAAAATCTATATTCAGAATTTTTAAACTCTATATTCACAATTACAGAACTCTATATTCACAATTTCAGAACTCTATATTCAACAGTATAACACAACTTTTGAATCTATATTCACAATTTTTTGAACTTTATATTCACAATTTTTGAACTTTATATTCAAAAAAATATACCATTGACTTAGAAAACAATGCCACTAATGGTACCGTTATTCCAGACGTGCGTTTTAGACTTGGGTCCATGGTTCATGGCATGCAATTTGTATCCTGCACCAGGGCGCGCATTGCATTGTGTGCCCTGATGCAAAAACGACGTCGTTTCAATTTTTTTTTTTTGAAATTTCGTTACCCTGTGTTGGCGGTTAATTTTTTGTAAAAGAAAATCTCATGTTCAAAAATGTACATAATTTTATACTATAATACACATAATTGTATACATGAATGTACATAATTGTATAACAAAATACACATACTTTTTTTTAAAAGATAATACATATAATCTAACATAATACATAATATACATAAATTTTTAACATAATAAACATCAACTCTTAACATAATACACATTTCGGATGTATATAATTGTATAAACAAATACGCATAATCACGTCTAACTCCCTACATAACTTATCAAAACGACATCGTTTTGAGAGGCGCGGGGCGCACAATGCAACGTGCAGCGTGGTACTGGGTATAACGATTGTCAATGGCATAAGAATTGCTTCTTAACCAATCGGGCTAGTTCGTGCAATTTGGAAGCCCGAAAATTTTTAGCGGGCCCAATCAGGACCGTTTCAGTTCCTTCTGATAGAAAGCTTCACCGTTGGGGGTTTCACGTCCAAAACCGGCCTCTAAACCCTTCGGAGAACGGAAGCAGCGCCTGACCACCGTCTGCTGCAATCGTAGGCCACCGCCGCGCCGTCTCCTATAACTTTCCGGCAAGTACTCCCATCTATATCTTAATTTCTACTTATATAAGCATACAGATTACCTTTTACAGTAGTTATAAATTCCTCTGAATCGCAACATTCTTGCTTGTTTTGATTACCTATATAAAAAAAAAAAAAACTGAAATTTTAACAGCAGCGATCAAATGTAGTTCTTTGATTACCCAGGTTAATGATCGAAAGTGATTGGCGGCGACAAACACTTATTTTCGATAGTGATCAAATTCATGAACTTAGGAGTTAGCATAGTGAAGAGTTTCTCGCACGGTTGAGATTAAATAATAAATACTCGTATGATTTAACATTTGAGAGTTTTGTTGTGTTGTTAACTTTCTTATAAATACATTGCTGTTGCTACCATGATAAAGAGTTTGGTCTCAAATTCTGCTTTTGAATATTAACTCATGAAAAAGAGAAGTATTATTGTGTTAGGTAAGAGTGAAGTTATCATTTGCTCTATCAAATGAATAGAAATATATGGTACAAGTGTTGATAATTTGGATGGTTTTTGTTCATTAATGCGTACTTTGAATCCTAATCACGTCTAGATGCAAATGTATAGAAATATATTGTGTAAGTCTTGATAATTTGGGTGTATGTTTAGAAAGGCCTTGTTTTTGGTTCCTTATCATGTTTTGGTTTGTATTTCTGTAGATGGCTGATGGAAATGATGAAAATGTTATGGAGGTGGCCTATCACACTGACACAAACACAGACGAAAAATTAAGAAGGGAGGGGAAGTCGAGGTCGGTAGTCTGGCAGCATTTCACAAAGCTTATAAGGGAGGATGGAACTTACGAGAAATGCAAGTGTAATCATTGTAACAAGATTTTCTCTTGTTCTAGCAGAAGTGGGACTACCACTT